GGTTAGTTAGGTCCAAATTTCCAATTTCAGATAGTTGATTTGGTCGTCTAAAAACTTGTATTAAGATTGATAAAAAATGAAATCCTGTATTTCATGAAATTCACTTCTTAATAGATTGAACACATCGACCCAAAAAACCTAGTGAGAGTATAAAATAATAACGTATATATTTAAATAAATGAGTGTTACACATAAAGTAACAATGAAATTAATATCTTTTAACGGCCATTCTCATATTCGGTGTGCTCAGCCTAATTACCGTAGCCATTTCGGTGTCCTCAGCCTATAATTACCGCAGCCATTGTTTTTTCTCGCCTAACGTATCCAATAACATTCAAATATAAACAATTTTAAGCTTCACTATCAATATGTCTAAATGGCATTAGAATTTGCACAGTAGTTTTCGAGTTATTAAGACACAAATATTTTATGGAAACGGTAATTAGATCTAATTACCGTGGCCATGGATACGGTAATTAGAAAGGTTAATTTTTTTTAAGAAAAATCGACTATTTCTGACACAGCTGAATTATTATTTGTATATTTTGCTGAAAAAATGAAAAAACCGAAATTAAAATACAGGAACAGCTGAAAATTTCAAAAGTGCAACATTTTAACATTGATTAGTACAAACATGAACAAAAAAAATATTATTCAACTAAAGTTCACGAAATTCTACCTGAAATATCAACCTTTCATTCGAGCCACTCGACACGTATTAGCCTGTATTAGCAGGAAATTAAAACAAATGAATGAAAGAAATTACAGTCTACTAACATTTATTTTCAAATTAGAACAAAAATTAAAAAGTTAAGTAAGCGACCAGACTTTTGTAAAACTGCATTACTTTAGGGATAACAGATATAATGTTCTGCTAAGCGTGCCGATATGTGCTTGTAATTAAACTGTGCAACAGATACAGTAAGTACCTGTTACCACTGTAGCTAATTCGCAAATGTAGTAGTAAGAAGTTACTTTAAGTATTAACTATTTAAATAGATTAAATCAGTGCTATTGGTAGAGAACAAGCTATTAAATTTCTTGAAAACAAGTTTAAATAAAAATAAAATTACATTTGAAAATTTGAAACTACACACATCAAAAGTGTCTAGGGATCAAGTACGTTTAAGAGTATTGCTGCAATTAGGGTTAATTACATTAACTTTTTTGTATCGCTATTGATACTTTTTAGTGAGTTTTAACATTTAAATAAGGAATATTGTTTAAAATTCGATAATAAGAAGAAAATCGATTGTCAATGTGGTTTTGTATAAAAATGAGTTATAGCGTTTTGACAAAATCATTACAATATCTGCATCGGAACCGAAACAATTTACATTATTATGGAGAGACGACATCATTTAACCCGAGAAGTGATGATGCGAGCCGTCGGAATGTTGGAAGCTGGTTCCAGGCAACGTGCTGTGGCTTTCACTCTTAACACTACACAGAGCGTCATAAGTCGCCTCTGGACGTGCTATCGTATGACGGGCAGCGTGGCCGAGCGACATGGAGGACGATTTCGCATCACGACTCGCAGACAGGACCGGTATATCCAAAATACTGCTCGACGGAATCGTACCATGACCGCCATGATGTTGGTTACGAGGCTCCACAGCTCCTCAGGCTTGCTAATAAGCGATCAAACAATCCGAAATCGTTTACGTGAAGTGGGTCTGCGAAGGCCGCTCAGAGTTCCACCTATTGCACCTTGCAATCGCAGGACCCGTTTACGATGGGCTCGCGAACACAGAAACTGGGAGGAAGAAGACTGGCGTTATGTGTGCTTTTCGGATGAATCCCGCTTCGGTATGAGACCGGATACAATACGTACTCGAGTTTGGAGAACATCTGGACGTCATGAACGTTTGAGATATTGTCAGGAAGTTCATCCATATAGTGGGGGAACAATAATGATATGGGCCGGTATTTGGATCGGCGGAAGAACCGATCTTATTTGGATCAGGGGTAACCTCAATGCTCAAGTTTACGCAGAGAGGATTGTTTCAGATGTTATCATCCCTTTGCGAGGCCAGTTGGGTGATTCATTTCAACTAATGCATGACAACGCACGTCCACACACGGCTAGAGTCGTAACACGCATTCTTGCCGAAGCTCGTATCAACGTTCTGCCGTGGCCTGCTCAATCGCCAGACCTCAATCCAATTGAGCACGCGTGGGATATGCTTCAAAGAAGAGCTGTGCCGAGTATGCATACCGTCCATACTCTACAACAATATTTTGACTTGTTACAAAACACATGGGCGGCCATTCTTCAAAGTGATTTTGATGAACTCATCTTAAGCATGCCAAATCGCTGTAATTGTGTGATTCGTGTTAATGGTGGAAATACAGATTATTAATTTTCTTATCTGTATAATAAAAATGAGCAAAATCATCATTTTCGCCATTTTTTTGTCATTTAATTGACGCCGTTAATTTGAGTTTTTTCCCACAATTTGCAAAAACATCAATTTTAGTTTATTTTAATTAAATATAGGGGTAAGCGGTTAAATAAAACATAAGCATTAGAGTAAGCAGTCGTCCTGGAAGACTGGATTTGGTAAATATTGCTTAAATAATTTTTATTTCAAAAATATTCACTTGATCCCTAGACACTTTTGATGTGTGTAAAAGTGATCGTGTTTTATAAAAATGCATTTAGAATAGAATAGAATTATTTATTTCAGACCATGATCCGTAGTAATGGTATTATGTTCAATACAAAATTATTTAATTCTAGAGAAATGCCACGTCTAGACCACTACCCTACGCACCCAATATTGTTGGTAAGGGCTGTTCAGCCTGTTGGCAACAACGGCTAGGATGCTATTAGAGCTGCCGCGCACAAATTATGAGTGAGGCAGCCCTCTTGCGAATAATGGCATTTAAACTATTATTGATTCACTTTGATAAGTAACGCACATAATTTATCATAGCCCCGCACTAAGGAAAACCCTGTATCGCGGGTGCCATGGACACACACATAGACAACCACAAATTACACCCTAAGTCACGAGAGAAACAAATGTAGGCCGTACAAATATTTCCGGTCCTGGGACCTAACCCAGGACCTCTGCGTGGGAGTCCGGCATGGTAGCCATTCAGCCACGGAGGCAGTTAAGTGAACCATTAATAATAAATATTTTTTATATCTCCTCAAGATACGCAATTCTGGGTAGGATATATAACAGAGAAAGAAAGAAAGAAAAAAAAACGTTTATTCATTAAATGAGTCACTATACGCACTTAAATCTAATATTTAACACTAAAACAATAAATGGCTGCGTGACTTTTAACTAGTAAGTGTGTATGGTGGCGCAAAAGAAGAAAAGGATACGACTCAGCAATATGTCTATCTCGGACGAGACAGACGCTGATTTTCAGTCGTTTCTGTTTCAGCGTCGGCTGAGACCTAAAGAAATGGTACATGCTCTGTGTATCCTCCGGTTTATGCCACACACGTACACATTTACAATACACGTGTGATACATGTATACATACAAAGCTACAAGTAAATATACATAAATATAAATAAGTTAGAGACAAGAGTTAGGAACATCCGGCATCGGAGCATACGCTGGTTTTCTATCAATAGATTTTTCATAGTTTTTCTAAATGCGAATTTTGACATTGGCTGTCTCAATGGAGGAGGCATTTCTTCCAGTATTTAGATGCCTGATACCGGAAGCTACCCTCAAAGGCTCTTGTTTTATGGAATGGCGTTACCAATAAAAAACTACGAACTCTGCGTGAATTATAGGAATAAGTCCGCCATTTGATAAGGTGGACTTTTGAATCTAACAACAGAGTGCATCAAAGCAGAAAAATGCAAAGTCCTTCTAGATTCCATATAAAGAATACCGTGTAGGTTTAGCAAAGGTGTTATGTGACTCCTCAGTGGAATTTAATACCAAAAACGAATGCAGGAGTTTTGAACACGTTATATTAATCTTTTTGAGGTAGAGAGAAGACAGGGACCGAAAACTGTATCCGCATAATTCAATTTTGATAAAATAAAAGATTCACACATTTTTAATCTTATATCTTCACTGCGTAAATGACGAATTTTATATAATACCTTTAGTTGAAAGAGGCAAAATCTGGCAATAGACTCTACATGACTCACAAATCGCAACCCACTGTCCACAGTGACATCTAAATTTTTGGCCTGGATAACAAATTCGACTGATGATCCAAGAATACTAATCCTAGGATTGTGTGAAAGAATGCTTACGCAGACGATCCGCAGAGTACAAAACAAAAAGAATGGGTCCTTGTGGAACGCCTCTATGCACACTCCTTACAGAAGATCTGACTATATGCCCGTTCAACTCCTGAACTTTGACACTTTGAGTCCTATCAGTCAAGTAACTACTGAACCATTTTATTGTGGCTGTGTCAAAACCATAGTATGTAGGTTTGGCAAGCAGTAACGGCATACTGATAGAGTCGAACGCTCGTGAAAAATCGAGTAGAGTCAGTATAGTGGCCACAGAGGATATTGTGCACAGATTAGTGCCGGAACTAGAAAGACCCTGTACGTAACGGTCTCCGTTACGAAGCGCAAACGCACAAAGCACAAAAGGACTAAGCTAGTTACATATGAAACAGAGTTATGCATTAATGTCATCAACTACATCCATATCTCGACTTCACCCACAACTGAGTATATACTCGTAGTAGGTTACATTGCCACCATCCGCACCCATCAACGGCCATTCTAAAGTACTAAAATTTTGTTATATATAGTTAACTAAAAATCCTAATAGAAAACTGAAAATATATTATCCTAAAGCTGAAATATCTAGACACGCCAACCACAATTGCGATATAAATAAATGGGATAAAGCAGTACTAAACCGTTCCAGAAACCAGAATCGAGAGAATTTTGTTGTTAATTTCTGAAATGAACACCGGCAAATTAGATTTGTTTATTTCGAGAAATTCAATTAGTATAAAAACATTTTTTTTTGCTTGATATTTAAATGTTGTTTCAGAGGAACCGCTGCAGGCGTATCGGGCTGTAAAGATCTTAAACCCGAGTACACATTTGAGTGGGAATTACACTTGTGTGGTATCCACTTTCATGGAAGAAGATCGGCAAACTAGGTCGATGTTGGTTTACAGTGAGTACTCTTTGTTATTGGACAGTATCAAATGACTGCCTCAATAACGTAGCAATAACCATGTTTTTATGGAAAAACTAGGAAAATACCAATAATAACGAGGCCCAAACCGTGGTAGGTTATTGTGGTTTTTACTTACCTTTTTACACTTATCTATACTCATAATGAAATAATAAATGGTCTTTGAATCTATTTCTTGAAAACAGCAGTGTATATGTACAGATACATTAACTGTAAAGTTAAGAGGATCACACTTCTACGTTACATTATGTTCTTCAAGCCAGCATTAATTGGATGGCCCATCTAATGCAAAATGGTGACATTCATTTGCTGTACAAACCAATTGAAGTATTTTGAACACGACGAATTTAGTGCTATTTAATATTTAATGTATTAACCTTATACTCAGCGTCAAGAATTGCGGCGAACCCCAAATGGCGTGGTTAAGTTACTGGCCTACCAACTGAAATCTAACAGTGTTTGAAATGTTAACACTTTCACGAACGTTAGTCATATTTTTGTAAAGTAAATACGAATTAAAATATATGTGGAACGTGTCATAAGACTCGTAATGCCAGCTATACTTACGGACGATATAGAATAGTCATTTCATGGTTTTAAGGCTTAGGTCCCCCGTGTTCTTTTGTTTAATAGTTTCGCATGTGTTTTCAATGTGTGTCAGCGTACCTACGCTCCAAAATAAATAAAATGCTCGTTGTTTTGTTCGTCATTTGCAGCACAACCACTTTAGATGAAATAGTTTCCAGCATCAAACTCGACAATCTAAATACTAGAGGCGGCTGAAAAGCAATCTATTTTGACTGTTTTCAATCCAACAATGATACTACCTACTATCGTGACTTATTAGCATTTTTTCAAAATTAGAAAAAACGCTCTTTTGTTTATTACGTTTCGCTTTGCATGGACAACATGTCGGAAGAAAAAAGCAAAATATTTAAAAATGAGCAACTATTTACTAAAGACCCTGTCTGACAAATGAAATAAGTGTATTTCCCTTGCATAACATTCCTACGTTAAAAAATAGCTATGATCATCTTTTATTTAATGCTTGGGTAAATTACTTTTCAGCCAGCCTGTGAATGACAATAAGCACTTATATACAGGTGTAATCGTTAAATGTGTAGTAACATTAATCGCTCCCATACATTTAATATTAACTGCTTCCGTGGCCGAACAGTTACCATGCTGATCTGCCACGCAGGTCCCGCAGGTCCCGGGTTCGATTCCCGGGCCGGGAAAATTTGTATGATCCACATTTATTTCTCTCGTGATTCTGCTGGGCACACTTAAAGATTACATCACACATTGTGTTATTCTATCTTTATAGTCCAGTGTCTAGTTTATAGACATATTTTATTGTCGTTTCATTTGTAACATATATATGCTGCTATAGTACTCAGTAACAGATAGGAATTTATTTCAATGCCTTTTAATTTATGCATTTTTGTATTCCACAGGTTCAGGAAAACGCTTCCATTTCTATCAAGAAAAGAAATACGTATTCTGGGTGACGTTAATATGCGTTGCAGAAGATCTCTATCCAAGGCCTAAAATAGCTATTTTATCACAGGGGTACGTCCAGTACCACAGTGCTTCTTAATTACACACAGTTAATGAAATACAAATGATCTTTGCATGTATTTTACGAAACTGCATTGTATCTATACAGATACGTTAAGTATTATAACCTAATGTGACGTGGCTAGTAAATGTATATAACCTAATGTGACGTGGCGTGGTCCACCTGATGAGAAATGGTGAACGTCGCCTATAGATATTTAGTTATTCAAAAGATAAAACGTTCATTTGTTTGTTGGCAAATAATCGAAATTAGGCAAAGTTCAAGCTTGTCAATCGAGATTTAAATTCAAGTCGATGATACCTCTTACGATATGAACGGACTAAGGCAAAGTCAGAACTGTCAAGTTTGATTTGCTTTTGACTGTATTACATATATATTATTATTTTAGTATTTCCCGCAAATCAATATTTTTCTCAATCTTTTCATGTCGAATAAAAGCTTTCGCTCCTCTAAATAATCTCGGATATTTAAGGCGATGACATTATTAAACTTTCAATTACTACTTAGAAATTAATTTTTGTTAACAATTTTTAATTATTGTTAACAGAGATCGTTTGTAAGGAAATTTATCTTTTTATTTCTTTATGGAACCTTTTTTTAAATAAAACCCGATATGAAATTGTGTAGTACACTTACAGTTCGTTGATGACTAAACAACAAGGGGGATGATGAGTTTGTCCGAAATAAATGTAATTAGTTGTCTTTTCATTAACAGCAAATAAATTTTTGTAAAATTTCGAAAACTGCTTCGAACTCCTAACTGACATATGACGATTTCATGTGCGGCGTGACACCTTATGTTTATTACTCTAATGAAGGGTACGGCTGCTGGTGAAATTACAGGCACATGGAACTTGTCAACTTATGTCTCATGATGACAGGCGCAGTGGCAGGGTCCCTTAGATCTTTCCGATTTAAAGCTCAGAACTGCACCGCAATTGCTGTGGACAGGCATGTCACTTAACACCAGGCGCATGACTTATTCGTCCTGTCACTTGGTGCCATAAACAACTCTCTTATTACTTTAGCAAACCTTTAAAACAAGCGGAGACGGAGATCACGATGGACTCGTGGGGAATGTACTCGGTGACAGTGACGGCAGTGGTTCACGACGATGACGTTGTCCACCCCTGGGAAGAGTTCGTGTGTACCCTCACCTTGCCGCCAGCCAACTTCACCTCTAACAGGACCACTGTGTATTATCCAGGTAGGAATCTGCAAATTACATTTCTAGTGGAACGCGAGAAGCTCGTTCGAAGCTCGTTTGCTACCCATGTTTACGCGAACGTACTTATAAGGAGACAAAATTTGTAAACGTGTGCAAAAGTTTACTGGCTACGTCTTCGCAGTGTGCATTAAAAAAAATATATAAGTGCGCATTTGTCCTCCATCTCACCTGACGGAAAGTGAAGATGAGATCGACCATGGAGCATGCACACTTAAATAATGCCTATTCACTCTCGCCTTGAAAATACCCAAGTTATAACGTTCAGGGAACAAGTCTGCAGGCAGGGAATTCCACTCTATAGCTGTTCGCTATATAAATGTAAAAGCGGAACGCTTCGTGCGAATCTTTGGAATATCCTCAACATAGGGGTGGAACCCAAGTCTATGCCTAGTCCCCCGGTGATGGAAAGGGGAAGGCGGAATTAAATCGTGTATTTCCATCGCACACTCTCCGTGATATATCCTATAAAATACCGATAAGCTGGCAACTTTACGGCGGAGTTCAAGACTCTGTAGTTTCGCCTCCACTAATTCCGAGTCACCTATAAGCCTCTTGACAGGGTTGTCAATTGAATCCAAAGTGGCCAGTTGATACGTAGCAGAGCCATCCCAAAGGTGGCAGCAGGACTCCATACACGATCGGACTTGCGCTTGGTACAGCTGAAGCAACTGTCCCGGTTTAAAGTAACGCCTCAACCTGGAAAGGATCCCAAGCTTCCTTGCTGCATTTTGGGCCATGGATTCAATGTATCTGTCGAAGTTCAAATTGGACGATAGTATATTCTCTATAATCTGTTTTTGTTGAAGATGAATTAAAATGACAGGTCATTGCGCAAAAGTGTTGCCTGCTTGCAATCAGCTAGTGATTGCAGTCGATAAACATTCTAGACTATCGACTGAATGTTGGTTAAGCTCGTGCAATAAATCGCCTAACTTGTATCATCTGAAGCATCATTCGCCCATTATTCGTCCAACCGCTGGGCACAGGTTCATTTGAATTGTCAATTTTTGTAAGTTTCATACATACATACACCACATTTACAATTATGTCTATTAAACATACAAAGAGGAGACATATTTGAAAGTTTTTGGTTTTAATTTAATCTAGATAATCGAATTCGCCGGTCCTATATAATATACATATGAATAAAAATTGATTTCGAAACTAGTAGGCCAACGATCGAAATAGGAATAAAGAAGGCAATAACGCAATTAGAAATCATTAGAGCGTAATAACATTCACATTCAACATCACATTTTTGGCAAAATCTAACCTTCTATCACAATTTATCGATAAAACTGTCGACAACAACTACATGACCATTTAAAATTTTATTAAAACTGGCAACACTATAAATCTCATTTTACTCCGTCTTCAAAAAAGACAGACTATAAGAGTCCCAAAACGAAGGTCTTGTACCTTCACTTTAAATCATTTGAG